CGCCTCCGGGCTGTGGAGCATGCGCGGGCAGGTGGCGCGGCGGCGGCGGCGGCGAAGGCCGAGGCGTAGGGCCGTTCCCGCCGCCATGGAGCGCGCCATGCTTCGCTGGCTGCGGGGCTTCGTGCTGCCTGGGGCCACCTGCCAGAGCGACAACGACGATTATCTCCGTTACCAGATCCTCTTCGAAGACCTGGACCACAACGGCGACGGCGTGGTGGACATCCTGGAGCTCAGGGAGGGGCTGAAAAACTGGAACTCCGCGTTTGACCCCGACTCGGAGACGGTGAGCGACCGAGCAAGCGTGAGGGCACCGGGACTCAGGAGAGAGGTCCGCCTGGCCGGGCCTTCCAGGGCCGCTCCCAGGGGCTGGGTGGTGGGGTAGTGGGGTGGGGGTGGGGTAGGGGGGTGGGGGTGGGGGTGGGGGTAGGGGGGAGCACACAGCCCCACAAGACGTGTTTGTAACCGCCTTCTGGAGATAATTCACGCGCCCGAGGAAGGCTTCTCTGCTTTTGGGAGATGCTGTGAATGGGCTTCTGGTGATTTTCAATGTTTACCAACCAGCGCAGGCTGCCAGGAGCCGTTTGCTGGCCTTTGGGGTGCAGAAGCCATTAGTTCTCAGGAGGGTCCCAGCCGAGGCGGCGGTGGTGCGCCCATGGCTCGCACTATGTTTTTCTTTTAAGATAAAAGATGTTCATGTGGAGCTTTACTCTAAGCTGAAATTTCAGTTCCCAAGTTTAATGGCGGTGTTGGAAGTATGCGATAAATAAGTGGGTTTTGGTTGCAGTTTGGTCTTGAGCCTAAAAGGTTCTCCATTGCTGGCCCAGGGGAGGTATTTCAGTTGTCTCCAAGTGGCAGGCGTAGATGGATGGATGCTCTCCTTCTGACATCCATAGCAAAAGGATTCATCAGCAGGGTTGCACTTCAGCCAGCTGTTTAGTGTCTTGCATAAATTCGGAGATGTCTTTCTTCGCTAGGCAAATGTTGACTTGAATATTTTAAAACTAATAATTTTAGGAAGTTTCAGGATATCAAGAGAGAAGAATTACCTTCCCTGTATCTTTGAGGGGATCAGAACATCTCTGGCTTCGAAGCAATCACCGCAGTTGAATCAAGCTTACTGGTCAGCCTCCCCCCTCGTTTCTATTGGAAAATGTAACTTAACAGTGTACTTAATGTTATAGCTGTGACTGAAAATTACCTATCTACTAGACAATGGACGCTTAGAGCAGTCATTCTTAGTATGAGTGAAGTGTGCAAATGTTAGCATGGTGCATGGATTAACTGGTGGTCTGTCTCTGCAATGAGTTTCTTCTCTTTTGTAGACTATTCTTAATGCTGGAGATACCAATGCTGACTCAGGATTGGACTTCGAAGAATTTGTGCAGTATCTTCAAGACCATGAGAAAAAAATGAAGCTGGCCTTCGATAGTTTGGACAGAAATAAGGATGGTGTGTATGTCTCATTAATAGCTGGCTTAGTACAAAGAGTACCAGTACTAAAGGATAATTTTGCAAGCCTTTACTTAATCCCTTCTTTCAAAGATTTGCTTATTTCTACTAGTGTTATAATTTTTAAGTTCTTGAGAAAAGCTATATTTATTAGTATTATACATCCCATGTAATTCCTCTTTTTTTTATATATTTGGTACAGGATCCTGTTTTCAGTCTCCCCAGCACTGGGATTACAGGCCTGTGCCACCATGCCCAGACTTGGTGGCCAGCTCATGTGCTCAGGGGTGGGGCTGGTGCAGCATGTAGTGCCAGGGATTGAACCCTGTTCCCTGCACTTAGCTAAGCAGGTGCTTAATCTGCTGAGCTATCTTGCCAACCCTAGTTACTCTTCTATTATCCTGTTTTTTAAAGAGAGTACAAATTAGAATTAAAACAAAAAAATTACAGATTTTCATTTAACAAAGTAATATGAATTTCACAGTATTAATTATAACACAGTTTTATCTTCTAAGCAGTTATTCATATTACTAGATATATGCATGTAAAATTAGAAGAAAGAAAAAAGTGTATAAGAAGTTAAGAAGAGAAAAAGTACAAATAATCAAAAAAAGGACACAAAACAGTTTAAAGCATTAACTGTTTCCATAAACCAGCAGAAATGTACAGTACAGTTGTCGAAAAAAATCCTGCTTACATACATAGATATATCTCTTTCCCTCACTCCCTCTCCTGTTCTTTTCAACTCAATAACTCTTTCCTTTTGAATAAGTTCATTCCCTTTTACCAGTGTCTACTCTATCCTTCAGATTCCATTTTTCTCTTTCAGGTTCTCACACTAAGGAGACAATAACTTGTGTTCACATGTGGATCTGACTTATTTCACTTAAGAGTATGTTCTCTAGTTGCATCCACTTACAGACAAAAGTCTCAAATTTATCTTGTTTTATAGCTGAATAATAGACCATTGTGTAAAAATACCACATCTTCCTTATCCATTCTTCAGTTGACGGGCATCTGGGTTGTTTCCAGGGTTTAGCTATAACAAATTGTGCTGCTATAAACATGGGTGTACATACATCACTGTAGTATGAGGTTTTCAGTTCTTCTGGATAAATACCCAGGAGGAGAAGAGCTGACTTGAATGGTCTCCAATCTTAGCTTTTTAAGAATCTCCACATTTTTCCGTAGTGGTTGTACCGGTCTATACACCCACTAACAGTGCAGAAAGGTTCCTTTGTCTCCACAGCCTCTCCACCATTTGTTATTGGCTGACTTCTTGATGTTAGCTATTCTTTCTGGGGTGAGATGGAGTCTCAGTGTTGTTTTAATTTGCATTTCGCAAATGACCAATGATGTTGAACATTTTTTCATATACTTACTTGCCATTTGTATTTCTTATTCTGAGAGGTATATATTTATCTCAGATGCCCATTTTTGGATTAGGTCTTTGAATTTGTGGGGCCTGATTTTTTAAAAATTCTTTGTATGTTCTAGATAAGGCCTTTGTCTGAGGGACAGTTGGCTGCAATTTTTTCCCCAGTTTCTTGGTTTTCTTTTTACTCTGTTGGAGATTTGCTTTCGAGTGCAGAAATTTTTCAAAAAGATGAGATCCAGGCCATCTCAGTGGACTTAGTACCTGCTTTGGCAAGCACAGGGACCAGGGTTCGCTCTCCAGTCCCTCATGCCACACTGGCCCCACCCCTGGAGCATACTAAGCCAGTGACTGAGTCCAGGCGTGGTGGCACATGCCTGTAATCCCAGTGTAAGGGAAGGCTGAAAACAGAAGGATCACTACGAGTCTGTGCTGCATAGTAAGACCCTGTACCAAATACATAGATGAAATAAATAAACAAACTTTAAAAAAAGATGAGATCCCAGTTCTTGACTCTTTGGAGTATTTCCCATGCAGTTTGGTTTTTGCTCCTGAACTCTCTACCTACCTCTGTGTCTTTAAGATTTCTACCTACATTTTCTTCCAGAAGATTTAGTGTTTCTGTTTTAATATTTAAATCTTTGTTCTATTTTGACTGTAGTTTTGTGGTCATAGGTGTGGGTCTAGTTTTAGCCTTTGACATGTGGAAAGCCAGTTTTTCTAGCACCATTTATTAAAGAGGCTATATTTCTTCCAGTGAGCCTGTTTAGCCCCTTTATCAAAGATAAGGTGACTAGGTGTGTTTACAGTTGTGTCTACATCTTCCAATCTGTTGCACTGATCCTCAGGTCTGTCTCTATGCCAGTACCATGCTGATTTTATCACAGTAGCTTTATAGTAGAATTTCAGGTCAGGGATTGTGATACCTCCTGCCTTTTCTTTGTTCCCCACGATTGCTTTTGATATTCTAGGACTCTTCTGGTTCCAAATGAATTTGAGGAAAGTTCTCTCTAGCTCTGTGAGGTATACTAGTGGTATTTTAATTGGGATTGTATTGAATCTGTATAACTATTTTGGGAATATGGCCATTTTCACAGTGTTCTTCCTATCCAGGACCATGGAATATTTTAGTTTTCTCAAATCTTCTTCAATCTCTTTTCTCAGAGTACCATAATTTTCACTGTATAAATCTTTTACTTCCTTTGTGAGATTGATTTCTAAATATTTCATTTTTTTGGATGTTATTGTGAAAGGGGTGTTTTCTCTAATTTCTCTCTCATTGTATTCATTCTTTGTGTACAAAAGTGCCACTCATTGTTGGGTGTTGACTTTGTATCCTGCTACATTGCTGAATCTGGTGACTAAATCTACAAGTCTCTTAGTAGACCTTTTGGGGTCTTTTATATACAGTACCATGTCATCTGCAAATAATGATAATTTCATTTCTTTTCCAATCCTTATGCCTTTTATCTCTCTTGTCTACTTGCTGTGGCTAATGTTTCCAGATGTATATTGAATAGGAGTAGAGACAGTGGACATCCTTGTCTTGTTCCTGATTTTAAAGTGAAGGTCTTCAGTGTTTGCCCAATTAGTATGATGTTGGCTGTTAGTTTTTCATAGATGGCTTTTATCAGGTTGAGATATAGACCATCTATTCCAGTACTTTATAGGTTTTTTTTTTTTTTATCATGAATGAACGTTGCACTTTGTCAGAAGCTTTTCTTGCATCTATTGAGATGATCATGTGGTTTTTGTTTTTGGTTCTATTGATATGGTATATTACATTTATGGATTTGCATATGTTGATCCATCCTTGCATTCCTGGAATGTATCCCACTTGATCATGATGTATAATCTACTTGATGATTTGCTGCATTCTGCTTGCTAGTATTTTATGAATATGGATGGTCAGTAGAGAGTGGCCTATAGTTCTTTTTTTTTAGTTGGGTCTTTCTCTGGTTTTAGAAGCAGAGTAATACTTGCCTCCAGAAATGAGTGTGGGAGGATTGCTTCCCTTTCAGTTTCATTGAAGAGTTTGAGAAAAGTTGGCATTAAATCTTCTCTAAGTTTCATGTAGAATCTTGCTGTGAATCCATCGGGACCTGGGCCTTCCTTTGTTTTTAGGTTTTCAATTTCATTTGTCATTATTGGGCTATTCAGAGTTTGTATGTCTTCTTGCTTCAGATTTGGCATTTCATATGTATCTCGGAAACTGTCCATTTCCTCTGTGTTTTCCATGAGAGTAAAAATTTTGGAAGTAGGTATTGATGATCTTCTGAATTTCTCTAGGATCTGTAGTAATTTTGCCCTTTTCATTCTTTATTGCATGAATTTGGGTTTTTTCCTTCCTTTATTTGATTAGGTTGGCTAGGGGTTTATCAATTTTATGTATTCTTTTGAAGAACCAGCTCTTTTACTCGTTTATTCCTTATATTGTTTTCTTCTTTTCCAATGCATTAATTTCTGATCTAATCATTATAATTTCTTTTCTTCTTTGGGCTTTGGGTTTGACTTGCTCTTCTTTTTCTAGGAGCTTGAGGTGCAGCACAAGATCATTTATTTGGGCTTGTTCTGTTTTTCTAATGTGCAAATTTACTGCTATACATTTTCATCTTAATACAGTTTCATCGAATCCCATAGGTTTCAATACAGTATATCTGCATTTTCTTTCTTTCTTTTTTTTTTTTTTTCACTTTGTAGACACGCTGCATTTATTCATACATATACAGATGTATCTCAGAGGTAAGTGACGCTGAGTGTTAGGAGGATTGCATGTTAAAAATAAAAAGCTGATGACAGTGGATAGAGTAACTGCGATACGCAGCCAGGAAATTTGGGCTTCTTTGTGCCACTGCCCTCGCCAGCACCACGGTGTGGTAGGAAATCGTAGCTAACTACCTGGCCTATGAGTAACAACAGCAGGGGCAGGAGGCCTGCCAGCTAAGCTTTTCTGGCTTCAGAGTAAAACGTACAATGCCCACTCTGAAGGTGAGCATACGAGGACATTAAAGAGGTCACGTGGCAACTATCCGTTCGTGTAAATCCTAGTGAAACAAAATCATTGAAGATAGGCTTTATATAATCTTATCTGATTTTTAAGATAAAACAATCATTTAAGTAACATTGATGATGTATGTAATTTTCTATTTGAAACAGTTATAATTTTAACGCTGTACCTTTCCATTTATTCTAAGCTTTCAGAGTAATAAAGCATGTCTCTGTATTATGACAATAGTAACCTTCCAAGACGCTTGTCAGTGGCAACACGACCCCACAGCCAAGAGCTAGAAGCTGTTAAGGAGACGTGGTTCTATGTAAACCGACCTGGGTCTGTGCGGGGTGGGTAGACTGCCAGCCAAGTATCTGCATATGTATCCATTCAGCTTCTCAAGCACTCCGTGATCTACTTGATACTCCTTCATGCTTTTAAGGTAGTCCTTAACATCACTAACAAAGTCTGCGAAGATCTGCTATTTGTGAAGAGACCATTAACGATAAACTGATTGATGAATTCATTAAGTTCTTCCTAATGGTGAAATGCATGCAGCTCTTTTAACAAGTATCTTCTAATTATTTGCCTAAATTCACCCATCAGTACAGGATTCACCACCATGTTGCAAGGGCT